GGGACTTAGAGGCCTTCTCATGCATTTTATCAGGGAGAAGCAGTTGGTCAATAGAACACTGAAATAGCCTACTGAAGACTCAGTCACTAAACACTCAGTCGCTGATTCCCACTGAAGAATCAGTGGAACAATTAAATGGTGTACTGTCAAAGAGCTGTAGCATGTGCTCTGAACTATATTATGCTGCTTTATCCATGTCAGAAAACAGGGTTTTGGGGCCAAAAGGTAAGGCTTGGGTGATAAAACTTACAGTTACACTTCATATCCACTGTGATGGTTAATTTTACATGTCAACTTGGCTGGGCCACAGGGTACTCAAATAGTCCATCAAACATTATTCTGGGTGTTTCTGTGAGAATGTTTTTGGATGAGATTAACAATAAATTGGTAGACTGTGTAAAGCATATTTCCCTCCTTAACATTTGGGGGCCTCATCTAATCAGTGGAAGGTCTAGATATTATCATACACTGTATAATGATATTTCAGCCAATGACAGACCACATATATGATGGTGGTCCCACAAGATTAGTACCATGTAGGCTAGGTGTGTAATAGGCTATACCATCTAGGTTTGTCTAAGTGCATTCTGTGATGTTCACACAATGATGAAATTGCCTAATGATGCCTTTATCAGAACATATCATCTTACTAAATGATGCATGACTGTAAAACAAGAGGCTGACCTTACCCCAGAAAGAGTATTCTCTATCCCGATCGCCTTCAAACTGGGACATTGGCTCTTCCTAGTTCAACAGTAGCTTGCCAGCCTTTGGATTAAAACAGGAACATCAACTCCATAGATTTTGGACTTGCCAGCCTCCCTTACCATGGAGCCAATTCCTTATAATAAATATCTCTTTATATATCCTATTGGCTCGGTTTCTCCGAAGAACACTAACTAATACACCCACTTTCACAGTTTTGCATCACATCCCCTCGGTTTTGAACTCTTATGGTTTAGATGTTTTAACACCAAAACAAGGAATGCTGCCATATGAGACAATAAAGTTTTCATTGAATTAAAACCTGAAACCGACACCTGGACATTTTGAGGCTTTTCATACCACTAGACAAACAAAAAGAAAGATATGGTGTTAACTGTTATAATTGACTCTGATCCCCAAGGAGAAACAGGATTGCTGCTATAGAGTGGGAATAAGGAGTCCTGAAAGGATCTCTACTCCTATCATTGGTGTAGTCAGTAAAGGCCAGGTCACATACAGTACCAAACAACCCAAAATCTTAGTGGTAGAACATCACAGAGACTTATTTATCACTCATTCTATGAGGATCATGGGGAAGGGGAGAGGGGTGCTCTCTCTCCCTGTCTCTACTCTGTGATCCAAGCTAACAAAAGAGCCAATATCTGGAATATTGCTGGTTACTGTGGCAAAGGAAAATAAAGCATGGAAGATCTAATTTCTGCCCACGGTTTATTGTGACAGAAAGCCATAGGGCCACTCTTAATATCTAGGGTTAAAGGAATTGAAATAAAATCAAGTCCCTGGAAGGAGAACTGGAAATATTTGATGATAGCGCTAATGCTGTCATGTACCACCGTGCCTATAAGCAAAGGTCAATGAGAAACTGATTCAGCCCTACATAAACAATACTACCAAAGTCTCAGACCTTTTAGGTAAAAAGATTTACGTCATGGCGCTGGATAAGGATTTCTGAGTGGCTGACACACACATAGGCAGGAGAAATGTTTTAAGTTTCAGATACAATTTTCAATCAGTTGCGAAACTAGGACTATAGACATTACATATATTCACTCTTTTTATTATTAAAAGCTTCATTTATTTAAATTCATATTTGTAGTTAAAGTCTTAATTTTCTCCTTACCTATCTGTATACTGAGGCCAAATGGATGAAAAGAAAGGAGAAAATAGTCATCTCTTGACATGTTTCTAGAGAACAAGGACTTGAAGCTGGATATAGTAACTATACAAGACTTTGGGCTGTCTACATTTTAGGAGGATGTGAGTGTATTTTCAGTTATATATTTAGTAGTAGCAATATGTTGACTGGTATAATTTTTTTTCAATGCATATGTTCAGAAAAGAAGGGATATTGGACAGCCTAATGGTTGGACTTTAGTGAACACCTATTGTTTATTCCCACCAAGAATTCTTCTTTCATCCTCAGGTTATAGCATCCTCATTTGGCTTTCAGGAAATAAATCATTTTGATGTAGTCTTAACTGGACCCTCAGTCAAGATGCCCCATCCCAAACTAGCCAAAGCTGTGTCGTGAGAAACAAGATAGACCAATAAATTTGCTTCTCCCTGGGCTTTGAATCCTGAGGAAGAAATAAGAATATCAAGAGCAAGTGGAATCAGTTCCTCTCAGCAATAACTCCCATGAGACTTTGTCCTTTTATTTCTGCTACTCTATTTCCTCAAATTGACTTGATCCCTATCTTTTCTGAAACAAAGTTCTTCATTTTTCTATTAATTCTATGAGCAACTTTATAATTTTCCAGTAAACTTTATTTTGGATAAGAAGCCAGGCTATATTTCTGTTGTTTATAGAAAAGTAAATCTAATTAATACCATATTCAACTTTCTAGTTGATCAGAGACATGCAAATAAAGATGATAAGGATATATTTTCACTTACTTTGGACAAAAATAGAAATTATTAAACATAACTAATTTAAAGGAGGTTGTGGGAAATAAGCATTACATACTGCTGCTAGAATTATACTTCAATACAATCCTTTTGTATAACACTTTGGCAGAACCTGATGCAATTAAATTTGAAAATATTCTCAATCAAGCAATTCTACCTATATCAAACTCTTCTGTGAAAATATTTGAACATGATTTCAAAAGAAATAGATAAATTGGCAGATGTTAACTTAGCATATTTGGTAACAACTTAAAATGTAGGCAATCTAGATGTTTATCAATAATGGAATAGCTAACAAAATTATGGAAAATAGTACAGCTCTTAAAAATAATGAGAGTGATCAATATCTACTGAACTTGAACAATATCCATCTTATACTTTTGAATTAAAAAAAGCGAGTTGCACAGCAATAAAAGAACTATACTCCAAGTTGCATACAAAAATCTTTCGATACAAATTACATATGTGTATGTATCTGTGTCTATATATAATTACATTATATATATGAATATATTACATACGTACATTATGTTACATGTTTATAAAAGAAGTCCTAGAAGGATACACACAAACAATTCACAATGGTAATCCCTGAGGAGTGGTAGTGCTTAAAGTGGGACTTTTAACTTACTTTCTAAATAATATTCATGGTAGTGTGGATTTTTAGTACATATGTTACTTTCATTTTTTCAATCTATTAAAAGAGTAGAGGATAATAGGATACCTAAAATGGAAAGAATAAAAGGAAATATGTAGTACATATTTAAAGTTGAGTAGGAAAAAAATGAAATGAGAAAACAAGGTTAAACTCAGCATTATTGCAGTATATTTACATACAGCTATAAAGTGGCACGTGTTTTTATTATTAATTAATTCTACTACAAATATTATTGATAATAAATAACAGTAATTGAGGACAAATTATGTGGTAAGCACATTTTTAAATGCTTCATAGGTATCATCCCATTTAACTTCACAACTATCTCATGAGCCAGGTACTATTTTTCTCATTTTATGGAAAAGACAATGAAGACACAGAGAGGTTATGTTACAAGGCTTGTAATTGGCAGAGCCGTTAGGCATTGCATTTAACTATGAAATTCAGGCACAAACTGGATTTACTTGGTCTGGATGGAGCTACGGAGGTCTAAGATGGCTAAACTTTTGAACGCACAATTCCTTAATCCTGCAGAATAAGAGCTACTTTATTGAAGTTTAGAGAATATTAAAGAAGAAGAAAAAAAGCCACCCTAACTTAGCTTCTGCGTTAATAGCCAGACTTTACTTTTGCCTGGCTTTATATAGATTGAGACTTATTGCATGTGGCTCACCCAACCAATAACCTTATCATGATCCTCTAGATTCTGGAATATGGAGCTTGACAAAGGCAGTGTTGTGAACTAAATTCCTGTGGTGACCCTACCTTCTACAGCAAGGAGGTTTCAAATGCTTAGCCTTTGAAAACTGGCCCTGGACAACAGGCAGTGGAAGAAAGAGAGGAGTATAACTGTGGAAGCCTATGCTAATTAATTGTACTTTATTTACATTTATTTAACACAAGACACAATGTTATACATTTTATTCTGAGCACTTACAAGAGTACAGACTATTTCAATATTTGGTTTCTAGTTTCTGAGAATAACCTAGCAGACCTTTTTAATCATACTGATTTTTTTAAAAACAGAAGCTTATACAAGGTTTATAGAGCTTTTCTCCACTTCATCTGGTCTAATGTTTACTCTCATGTTGATGGAGAGAAAACAGGTCAGTGGAAGAAGATGACACTAATTAGTTAACTAGACCAAATTAATGACAATTTATTACAGTGCATACTGGTGACATCAAATATATATAGTTTCTGTTGAAAAAATAATTTTATTTTACTACATCTTACCTATTGACAGTAAAGCATTAGAGAGTGATATTCATTAGATTTTGTAAGTAGTAAATGAAAAAATCATGTTATGATTTCTATTCTTTGTTAACTAGCTTTATCTTTACTCTGTAGTAGATATATATTCTGTATTTAACAAGCAGAGGGGAGTGGTTCTTCAAACAGATGGTTTAGAAGTTTAGGCACCCAGCTAGTATGTGTGTGTGTGTGTGTGTGTGTGTGTGTGATTATTAGTAGTAGTACTACGATTACTTCACAATATTTAGAAGGGAGGCAAATCTGCTGGAAACAGGCTATTGTGAAAAACAGTATCTAAACTGGTTTCTCTTATGTACTTGATAGTCAATGATTTTTTTTGTATATTGATCTGGGTCCTGTATTCAAATAACATTAATTCTAGGTATACCAGGCTGTTTATTTAGTTAATTAGTATTAAATGAGTTAATGATGATGATATTTTCCTTACACTTACCCTGGCATTGGTCCATTTCCAGCAAGACTGTAAACCTGACGAGGATTTAGTAGATACTGGAATTTTCTGTAAATTCTATAAAGATGAAAATATAGAAGGAAAAAAGTATTTAGTGATATTTTAAAATTTTTAAATAAACAGTACCCCTTAATGTTATAATTATATATGATTATAATTAAATATATTTGACAAATTTTGCATTAAAAATATTGTAAGTATAATAGCTTAATGGGAACTAATGGTTCTTTTTAAAAAAGAGGCTTGGTAGACATTATAAAAGCAATATAGCTTTTAAATTAGAAACAATGATATTTGCATTATAAATATGCATATGCACTTAGAATATTTTCTATCCTGTTTTTGAATATTATTTAGATAGACTCCAATAAATATTTTTAAAGTATCAGTAAAAAATTGCTTAACTATCTTCTTTTAATAGATTCTTGTGAAATTTATAAGTTATTGGGAAACCTAATAGAGATGAAAACTGTCTATCCCAAGCTGAAAATGGGATTGTGCATTTTGTATGTGTGTATGTATGTAAGCAAAGAATGTGACCTCATCTGCCTCATTATTTCATAAAAACAATCATCTTGTCAGCTCACAAAACTGCTAAACTGTCTCAACAGGCACATAGTAAATAGCTCATTTTTTTCTGTAAGAAATCAATCTCTGTATAACAAATGCAACAGACATGTTTCTAAGTACACACATATCCCACGTGGCTGGCATTCTTAGACAAAATATTAAAAGTGCAAGAATATGTTTAGCTTTTAAAAATCGGTTTTCATACGCATGTGAAAATATTACTATATATTTTGCAAACACATTCATACTATGTTTACCCATAGAAACTCCAAATTCACAACATAATATCTGCTTATATCCCCCCACTCCCAAATCTGGAATAACCCTCACATTCTAGTTTTTAATTAATTATATCACCTAGTATCTCAAGAAAGATGAGTTGTTCTTAATGCATCCTTTTTCCAACACCTGAACATGATTAGTGGACAGTCTCGTACCTTCTGCATCACGTCTGTGAAGCCTGGCTAGACCATCTTGCTGCCTTAGTTGAGGCTTTCGAGTTTTCTCACCATCTCTCGAAAACTCTTGCCTATCCAGCCCTCTCCTATACAGTTATTCAACTACGGTCATGATGCTTCCAGGATGAAAGAACTCGCTAGTGTTGAGTTACTTAAAATATTTCATTAAATTGAAAACAGTTTACCTTTCCCCTCCTTCTCCTTAAACTTTAACCTCAGTGACTACCTCCTGGTTCTCTGACAGACACCACGCCCTTCACAAATCTGTCTTTCTCCTTCCTTCACGTGGCAAACATTTACTTATACTAGAACCAACGCAAAAGCTACTTCCTCTCCGAAGACTTCTGAGTCTTCAGAGATAGTCATTTCTTCCTTCGAATTTCTATAGCACTTTCATTTTAAACATTTCTAGTTTAGCATTTACCTTGTGCTATTGCAGTGTATCTGTGTACGTGCCTGCCCCCCTGCGTGACTGTCTTACGTCCTTTATCCCCAGTGTCTAGTAGACTCTGTTTTTGCTCGGGCATCGCTGCCTGAATGAACAATACGTGAACACTTTCACACCTGTTGGCTGGTATGGTAAACTTTGTACGAATCTATAATTCTGCGACCTTTTGCTACTTATCTAATATATCAAAGTCAAAAAAGTCCAAAATATTTTAAAAGGAAAACCCAGAATGGAAGTCCATTGTTTGTGAAAGATGCCTCTTATGCATTCAGGAAAATTTATGTTTGCATTCTTAATAGATCTCCATTAAACCATATTTACATTTCCTTTGACTTTGAATGGTCCCCGTTAGTGTATAAAGGACAAAACATAAGTGGGTGTGCATATAGCTGCACTCAAATATCCTACCTCCCTTCATTAATTTTAATTTACTTATGACCTTAGTGTATCTATATTTTTTTCTTTACAATTTAAAGAAAATTTTTTTTATGTAGTAGGAGAATGAGAAGGCAGATATTCAGTTAAGGGTCATTCTACATACTTAATGTAATCTTAATTTGAGGGGACTGTTTTTCCTTTTGAAATATATCTATTTTTTTCTCTTGACATTTAATTTGTCTCTTATTTCCAACATGAATTTGTCTTATCTAATTCTTTGTGAAGAGTTTACTATTTTCAAGATATCCCAATATTTACAGCTGACAGACTATAAATAGAAAAGGAGAAAATAATTTCATGTCTCTATAAGTGAGGCAACTATTCTCTTTAATAAATCATTGTAAACATTTTAATTATTAAATATTCATTAATTTAAAATAATTTCTATCATGTTTTGCAGAGTAAGAACATAACTATATGTTGAAGAAAGGGAAAAAAACTTTTAAGCAGAAATAACATGTTGCTGATTTGAAAATGAAGAACGCTCTTCATTTCATTGAAATAGAGTTGGAAAGTTAAATGGTAGGAAAGGAAATTACTTTACAAAATTCCATTATTTACAGAAGTGAGTCAACTTCACTATTTTGTAAACCATAAAGGGAATTTCGTTTTGATTAGCATAGTGTTTGTGTGAGTGCTTGTATCTGACTGCTCATTTTTGGTTGGGATTAGTAAAGACTTCTAGAAATTATGAAAGCAGGTATAATCACACTTTTGTTTATGACTCTTCTCTTTAGGAGGACAAAAGATTTACTCTTCAATGTGGTGATTTTCAGATTTTTATTAGATATGATTTAATCATTAATTTATTATAAAAATGAAAATTTTGTGTTGTCAGCCAGAATACTGAGGTACCTGATAATGCAGTTCATTATTATTCAGATTAAATATATTGTGCTTCTCCAGGAAATACAGCATCATGTTTTCAAAAACGCACATGCAGAAAATCATTATAATATATTTTGTCCAGAAGCTGGATATAAATTCTCCTCCTCAGTGTTGGGTTATGATTTACCTGAAGTCAACTTGCTGACCATTTAGAGAACCAATTTTCATTCAACAGTATTTATGTTATGAGCCATGTTGTATGCAAAGCTCTTTGTTAAAGACTATAGGTGACAGGCAGGGTAGAGAGAATTCAGATATCTCAGTTATGACAATAAATATATTTACAAAAGGCCATTATAATAAAGTTTCAAATGTAAAAGCAAGGAAAAATCATATAAATATATTACATATAGATGCTAGCATCATTTATCTCACATTAAAATTAGTAAACCACGAGAAATACTGCTTTTACACAATAATTTTAGTGACTCATTTTACATATATATGACATAGAAAGTAAACATGATTTTTAAAAACATACCGGTCTCCCTGCTTCCCACCACTTTTGGGGTTCACAAAAACCAAAAGCGGATGAGTACCAGGAACAGGAGTGATCTAGAAGAAAAGGTGGATATATGGACCAATTATTCACATTATATATGAAGAGGACGCCTTGTTATTCTAAGTCATGAAACACAAATTAGCAAATTCAAGAATATGGCTCTTTTGTTCTGTAATATGGATAAAAGCCAGATGATAGATAGATCTATTTAGTAACTCAATTACACCCTGTGCTTTGACTATATATATATATATCTCTACAAGAATATCCACTCCACAAAAAGAGGTAGGGTCTAGTTAGGTACAGGGCAGGGCAGAAGGCAGCTGTGAAGATGGCAAAAGTTAGAATAGCCTGAGATGAAAATAAAAGGTACACTTTTTGGAACAGTGAGTAAACCAGCCAGAATAAAGTTGAATATAGTGGGGAAAATGATTAAAAGAAAAGTAAAGGATCAAATTATAGAGAGCCCTACTTTAAAGAAGACCCTTACTTTAGAGCTTTGTGGCATGTGTGGAATTCATCTTCCCAAGAACTTGTGAATAAAGTGGTTTGAGGCCCCTTTCAGTCTCAGAGCCCCTCTCTACACAATGCTTCCTTCATGCTGTCTTGCCCTGCTTGGGCAGTAAAGTGCCAGTTAATCAAATCTATTTGCTAAACAAGAGTCCGTTAAATTGACTGTGTCCCCACTATATGTCACTCACTGCTTTCATAATTACTCATTTCTCAGTTGAACAACAAAAAGTGCCTGCCCTAGTGGAGCTCACAGACAATAAACAAATAAACAAGCAAAGGTGTTTAGTGGTGACTTGTGCCATGGAGAGAAAAAAAGCAGGTAAGGACATGGCAATTTATTGGTGGGAGTAAAGTTGTTTTTGATAGGGTGGTAAACGAGAACTCATATTTTATGTGACTTCAATGTTGAGGTAAAGTCTTTTAAATAAAAATATTCCTATTCGATATACCCCTATAAAACGCCATCTAAATACAGTTTGACAAAACAATTATTTTAGTAGCAAAAGCATACAACTAATGGAGCCCTCTAAATATTAAGTTGAAAAGTTTTAGATCAATTTACTTTTGGAAAGTAGATTCAAAGTGTTCTTTATTGCTGTGTTATTTCCCCCCTAGAAAGTATCCTTAAATATTTAATGAGATAATTAAAAACAATCATTTCACTATATCATACTCTTCCTTCCTGCTTAAACAATATAAGTTAAAATATTCTACCAAGATATTTTCTTCCAATTCTTAAGTGAAATGACATTTTTCTAATGAGTACAGGCACTGGGAAAACGTTAAAATCTTCACATTGGCTATAAGAGAAGGTTGTGTAAGATATTCTTAATTTTTCTCTTCTTATCCCACTTGTTCTCATTACAATCTGCTGTGTCTGTCTGTGTTTTACTTTCTTTTGAAAAGAGGACACGGGTTCTTTGTTCCTGATTTGTCTCTGATTCAGCTGGGAGATGAGACAGATGAACCGGATCTGTAGTAACTTCCTAGTTCTTCTTCCCTGGACCAAATGTGCCCGGTCAATTAATGTAAAGAAAAAGTGCCGCCTAAGTTAAGTCATTGTCCTATGGGCTTACAACGTGTGCACTTCTCCCTCCATTGAAATGTAAAATGAAGAAACACTAAAACACATCTTTCTCTGAAGACTAGTATTCAATTTTCTTTAATTCTCATCCTATCATAAAATCAAATAGAACTCCTGAAGTTTTTACATGCCAAAAGTAATGCTAACAAATGTGGATTTTAGTTGGTTTTTGCACTTAGTTTGAATTGTTGCTCCTTATTCTTAAATAGAGGTGAGACTCTCAAGGTAAAGGTCAGTACCATGCTACATAACCTTGTGTTCTAAGTTGCACATTATTATGAACAATTAAATATCCCACTAGAATAGATTATGGGTTAGTAGAGAACCTCAAAATACAAAACTCTAGATCTTATTTTTAGAAGTGAGTAAATGGATAAATAGGTCAAATGGATTAGAAACATAGAAGAGAATTTAGATAAAGGAAGAATTTAGTAGAATAATGATACTTTACAAGAGACAAAAGTCAAATACTCGAAATGAAAACACAGGAATAATAAAATCAGCTAGGGATCATTTCCTCACATATCCCCTTATCACAAATTAGGCTTATAAAATAAGACTATCTAAAAATAAAACATTAGGGGCCGGCCCCCTGGCCGAGTGGTTAAGTTCAGGCCCAGGGTTTAGCCAGTTTGGATCCTGGGTGCGGACATGGCACCACTCATCAGGCCATGGCAAAGTGGCATCCCACGTAGCACAGACAGAAGGACCTACAACTAGAATATGCAACTATGTACTGGGGGACTTTGGGGAGAAGAAGAAGTTAAAAAAAGAAAATTGACCACAGTTGTTAGTTCAGGTGCCAATCTTTGGAAAAATCTAAATTAAAAAAATAAAAATAAAACATTAAAATACATATTTCTTTCAGAGAGCTTTAAGAAGTTGTAACTTTTAAGAAGTTGTAACTTGTAAGAATGCAAAGAAATATTCCAAGTAGGAAAAAAAGTGTCTATGTTTTGTCTGACAAGATATAATTGGAAGCTGCTGTGGACTGAATTGCGTATACTCAATTCCTATGTTGGAGCCCTATCCCCCAATGTGATGGTATTTGCAGATGGGGCCTTTGGGAGACAATTCAGGTTAGACAAGTTCATGAAGGTGAGAGCTTCGTGATTTGCATTAGTACCCTGATGAGATGAGGAAGATAGATCTCACTCTCTCTCTCTCTGTCTTCTGTGCACACATAAAGACAAGGTCATGTGAGCATACAGAGAGATGGCAGCCACCTACAAGCCAAGGGAAGAGGCCTCAGAATGAAACCTACCTTGCCACACCTTGATCTTGAACTTTTCAGCCTCTAGAACTGTGAAAAATAAATATCTGTTCTTTTAAGCCACCCAATCTATGGTATTCTGTTACAGCAGCCCACTCTGACTAATACAGAAGGATTGTATGGAAACTTAAGAAATGCTCTTTAATAAAGAAGAGTGAGAGCTTCTAGTCATTTTCCTCCTCATGCCAGCATGAAATTTGACATCGTGAGGACCAGTAACCATCTTTGACCTTGAAGATGCCACGGGTAGAGGGTGGGAAAGATAGTAACAGTGCTGATGAAAATATGGAGCTGTCTTATTAGCCCCATTTCCGGAGATCTTACTTCTGGACTTCATTTACATGAGACAAAAATTTATGGCTATCTTGTCCAAACCACTGTTATGTTTTGTTTGGTCCTTGTTTTGTTGTTTCCTGTTAAATGCTGCAGAACTAACTGTAACTGATATGAAAGATAGGATCCATAGGGGCACAGAATTGAATACAGACGGAACCAGGCATAGAAGCTTTATTCTTCATCTAACTTGTTAATGTCTCTAGTCCCTGAGTGAAGAACAACAGAAACTTGATATCAAAATCCATGAACAGCCTCTTTATTTCATGTTATATTACATTATGCTATTCTCACTATTGAATATGGGCATAATCATTTTCAGTCAATCCTTGCATGACTTAAATAGTCTGAGATAAGGAAAAAATGTAGGTATTATTAGATGTGATATTTCAGTTAGTTAATTCAATCTATCTGCTTCCAGATTCTGTTTTCCAGAGAAGTCTAAATCAGGTAAGAACTGACTTCTGGAATTCAGAATTCAGTTGAGAGGAGCTAATTTGTTGTAATGCAAATCATTTATACTTAAAGGAATTCAAGTAGATTAAAGGAATACAATGTTTTCTTAGTTTCTGAAACTCACTATGTCTGATTTGGATGAATAAAGTTTTAGAAATACAATAAAATTATTGTAAATTTCTTACAAATTTTTTTTATTTTACAGTGATATTTTTTAATACTATGAAACAATTTCAAATTTGCAGAAAAGTTGCAAACACTGTACAAATATGTTTTTCCTGAACCATTTGAAAGTGAGTGGCCAAAATCATGCTCCATCACTTCCATTAACTGTCAAAATAAGTGTGTTAACATGATTTTGGACTAGCTTCTTTTGTTATAAAAGCCATTATTGAAATGTGAAATGTGAATGGAATCTCAGGATTAGATAGCACTAATTTATCAGTTTTATCTTCCAGTTCACTAATTCTCTTTTGAACTATATCTAATACAGTCTTTAACATAACAAATTTTGAATTTTTACTTTCATACCATAATTCTGAAATAAGATGTACAACTCAGTTATTTTGAAAACTGATTTATAGCCATCCTGAAATATCGTACCCTTTTTGTTATAGATTTTGGTGGGATGGGAGGGGAAAGATAAAAACACAAATATATAAAAGATTCTGTTAGCCTAACCCTATTTGTTCTTGGAAGTAAATACTTACACAGCACTTGAAATAATTTTAAGTGGGACAGTATACAAAGCTGTTATGTATGATGAAAGCGAGTTGATCTGGTTGACATGTGAAAGAACCCTGAACCTGTTCGCAGCCTCCCCTCACTCTCCATTGTGCTTGAAGCATCTCTGCAGAACCCTGGGCTTCTCAAAACAGTTTTTAAAAGACATTGGGATAGGGTAATTCAGTATAACCAAGAAAATATTAATAATGGGAGAAAGCATTCAAGAAGATTTTACAGCATCTGTGGTACCTGAAATCTTAAAGAATGATTATAAATTGGGTGTGAAGGGCATTCCAAAAGGAGACAATTCATATTGGATTCTCCACTATAGATAATAGAGCAAAACATGTGAAATCTTATTTACTCACATTAAGGGGAAATTTCACATAGTAATATTAAAGTCAGTCTGGCTTGGGATCCCAGTTCAACCACTCCTCCCTATGTAGACTCTCTCCCTTTGAGACCTCATTTCACCCTAACGGTTTGAAGTGCCGTCAATATGCCTTTTGCTTCCAAATTCATATCTCTCTTTTCGCCTGAATTTTGGTGAATTCTGGTCTGCCTGCTTACTTGACATCCCCATTTGAGTGTCTAACAGCATCAGAATTTCTCTCCAAATCTTATTGACCCAGACCCTTCTCCATATCATTCAATGGCAACTCTATAATTTCAGTTGCATGGGACAAACATTTTGCAGATGTCCCTAACTGCTCACTTCTAAATGAGGCCTAATTTATCCATCTTACTTAAAATTATAGACAACTCCAACTCTCAACTCTGACACTTCTTACCTTACTCAGCTCCATTTTTTCCCCTATCATTTATAATCTAGCACATTACATGTATGGAGACAGGGACTCAGTTTAAAGGTTCTTTTAATACTCAAAGTATAGTGTAATAATTCCAGACTTAAAGAGGGGGCTAAAATGATAATGAAGAGCTCATTATGAAAGAATCAACAGGCTTGAGGATAGGAAAGTAGGCAAGGAACACACATACACATACACAGACTTCAATCAAAGAAAGGGAACTAATTTTATACACACATACAGTTGTGTACAGTGCATATGTGTACGTATAGTTCACAATCTTGGTGATGATAAGAATGAGATATTGTAAATAAGAAAGACAACAGGGACAGGAAGCAGTGGTGGTGGGGGACAACACTGGTTCAGTTTTAGATATTTCGGTATAAAGCTTCCCCTTTTCTTCTTGTTAATGCAAGAGTATTACAAACTAGAATTTTCGGTCCTCCAGTGACCTTTTTATTTAGAAATTTTTTTCAAAGAATAATTAGGGACTAGCTAACATCAGCTTAATACATTTTAAAAAATACTTCTGTTTTTCTACTAATTTGTTCACGTGTGGATAGTCATCTGTATTTTTACACCTCTTGCATGTTAAGAAGTTGTACTTTCAATTACATTGGATCATATGTATTAAGTGTAAACGTATGGTGTGAGCGATGACAAAGACAGAGTACCCAACCACCTCTACTTGAAGTCCCGTAGGACTCGGGTTAATTAATGAGACTCATCCTAAGGTTATACATGATCTATTACTTCCTCTAATTAGAAATAATAATCCTGATCATTATGCTGGTTAGCTGGAAAGAAGTAAGATGAATGTGCTTAACTATGATTAATAGTCTTCTTTAAGCAGTGTAGCTCTCTTCTGTCACTGAGTTATACGCAAACTGGGCTGCAACTCAATGCTTTTTCATGATATATATTTTTTAAAACTCAAGGAAAAAATTAATTTTCTCAAAGATCTTTTTACCTTTCCTGATAAAGAACAACCATTTTATTATTTTAAAATTGATTACCACAACAAAAAATTACTTAGTTTTCCATTTTGCATGTAATAGCTATCCAAGAATGTGTTCTTTTACTTTTTTTATATTTTCCCCAAAATTATGTTAATACCTATTTGTATCATGTTTTAGTCCATTCTGCTGAGGTGAAACAGACTATTGCACATAAAAATTTAAAATTCAAAAAATTATGAAGATGATGATCATTACAGTATTTATTTACTGCTTTTTAGGAAGGGCTGATGTCTACACGTTGCTTACCCACAATTTTACCTAACACTTTTGTGTGCCAAAGAAAGTTATGAAAAATTATCTGTTAGAGAGACTAAACACATCCACAGAGAAAGTTAAGCATCTTTGTTTTTAATGTGACTAGTTTAATTGTAACAAGATTGAATATTTTGCATTCTTTTTTGAATTAAAAAATATGGCTAATACTGCTATGTCAATTTAAAGCCTTTAAAACACTCTGCGTGTACCATTCAATTTTGGTTCTGATGTCTGGGTAAAGTCAAATAGGACTATTTAAATCTTAGGGAACTGAGACCAGAGAAGTTATAATCCTAGTGCATACATGATTTTTAGCTCAAAATTTGCAACAATATAAAAGTCTGTGGAAGAACAAGGTGGTCAGGAAATTTAGCACTTACACACCTGTTAAAATTTATTAACCAAGGAGATGGAGTATCTTAGGAGTAAAATACATAAACTCTGACTCAGATGGTCCTCATTCAAACCCTCGCTTTCCCACTGACTAATTGTGAGGCCTTGGGTATAAATTTACTCCTGAACACCAGTATGCTCATTTGCAAAGCGGTGATAAAAATAATGATATTTATCATGTGTTTATTGAGAAAATTAAGAATTAATATTTACCTTAAATGTTTATTGAGAGAATCCACTTAATTAACATGCATAAAATATTATCATAGTGCCTAGTATACTGTTTAACAAATGATGCCTGTTTCCTTTGCATGTTGAGAAGTATGTGCCTACCATGTGTGAAATACGCTTGAATCTTAAAATTAGGTTTCCCTTTTGTTATTTTCATTGCAGGAATTCAGAGTGATTAAAGATTTAAACTAATCAATATTTGCCATTGAAATGTTAAATTTATAAATATTGATTATTTTTCACTAAAAATTTCACAGGATCACTTAATAAATTCAATTTTTTTGCTATCAAAATTGTGGATAGATTTCATATTTGGGACTTCAGTGAGATTACTAAAGACAAAGACATGATTTCCAAAAAGTGCAGATCAGGATTTCCTCTTTTGATAATTAACTCCCATACTATTTAACCAAAGTAATAATTTTATCATTCAGAATTTCCTCTTTTTATATTTGGGTTTAATAATTCATAAAAGGTTTTTGATTCTCAATGTGTTTTATTAGATCAAAACAAAGCATTAACCTGATTATCAATATTTAGGCAATTATTAAATTTTCAATGAGATATTCACAACAATAAAGAAACAAGCATTTAGGCAACTACTGTATGCTCTGAACTGTGCTTGCAAACTAAGGAATGTGAAAGAAACAATCCATAGTATCACAGATAAAATAATAAATAAAAGAAGAAGGTATAAAATCATGTATACTGAATGCAAGTGTATAACATAATATATCTTTGTAGGGTAAGTGGTTGGTAAATTTTCCTGGAGAACATGAAACTTGAAGCAGATTCTTAAGGAAAGGAATTGGAAATTGGAAGAGAGAAACATACAGATAGGAAAACAAAAAAAAAGGGAACTCCACAATCTATAATTTCCTAGATTAAGCCAACTTCATTGATTGCTTTCATGTTGGAGTGAGAAACGGGAAAATAAATAAAATACATTGAATCTATATGATGTCTTAAAATGCAGATGGAAAGAACTCTTTTTTTTTTTTTTTGCTGAGGGAGATTTGCTCTGAGCTAACATCTGTTGCCAATCTTCCTCTTTTACTTCAGGAAGATTCACCCTGAGCTAACATTTTTGCCAATCTTCCTTCATTTTGTATGTGGGTCGCCACTGATGAGTGGTTTAGGTCAGAGCCTGGGAACCGAAGCCAGGCCACAAAGCGGAGCACGCCAACCTTAACCTCTAGAACACGAGGCAGTCCCAGGAAATCTTATTCTTGATGTTACAGACTCTAGGGATAATTTAGAGGTTTTTAAAGTACTAGAAACATGATTTTGAGCTACCTGTGTTTACTTAAACTAGAAATATATATGGTGATTCAATTTTCACTTAAAACTCTGGATGATATGGGTAAATTATACTATATTCTTTATTTTTATTATTTATTTAGAAACAAAAGTATCCAAACAGGTAGAGTTTATTTTATTCTTTCTTAAAGAAATTTGTTGCCACCAAAATGATTCTTCCAAATAGAAGCAAGAATATATGTGGAGAAAGTACACTTGTAAATAGACAATACATGTGTATATAATAAATGTGTATATTTACTAATAATTTGCAAAAACTTCAGATTGCCAAAATATCTCTTACCAATTTGTTTAAATGGAGACATCATAAAGGTTAATCTAATCAGAATATCACTCTGTCAATCAACCATAAAACTGACATCCTTATAAATTAATAAAGATCTTTCTGAAGTTGTCTGCTGAGCAAATCTGTGCATTAAATAAATGTGTTGATAGCTGGAAATATGCCCCTGTAGGAGCACAGAAGTAACAAACATGACAGCTACCAGGATTTGGATTAAAAGAATCCTACCTGTAGGCCTTGTCCATCCACAGTAACGGAGTTGGCTCTTTGCATTTTGTTTTTGTCGATCACTTTGTTGGGCTGCTGGGAATCACCCTTTTCCTTTTTCACTGTTGCTTGTCTTTCCTGCAAGGAAAAAACATTTTATAAAAATGTTGAATTGTTTTATTCTAAAGGACAACATACAGAAGAGTTTCACGGCTACAAACTTGGGCCCAAATTCCTAATTTTGAGTTTCTAGTAAATAATATGAAAGCTGTTGGTTTCAACTGGCTCAATATATATGATAGATGCATGATCAAAATATCAGTTACAGAAAGGTTGTGAAAGAAAACCAAATTGTATTATCCCTGTGTGCCCAATTATCTATGACTCTACCAAAAGTTATTAAGAACTACTAAAGATAATTATTGTCACAAACAATGGTACAGATAACTAATGTAGAACTATAATTTAAACAATTTGGTACTGAGCACTAAAAATAATGCTTATAAATACATGCAACATTGAAAATGAATACATGATGGACGTTTAAGCTACTATTTACATCAAGGATGGCATAAAACTTAAAACTCATGCTCCATCCCAGCTAATTCCTTTGTTCACCAAAATGGAAAAATTCCTTATAGCTCTCTGCTCCTTGTTTCTATATCCTCTCATCTTGCTCTCTCTTCAACCCAACTCAATAAACTTTTATCACCATTAATCCATCAAGTCAGCTTTTACTAAAATCACCAGTGATCCTCTCATTGCCACACGTGTGGTCAGTCTTCATCTCAACTTTTAAGCAGCATTTGACAGAATTGACATCTTCTTCCCTCTTGAAAACTTGCCTCACCGTATTTCCAGTACACGTTTTGCTCTTAGATCTCTTCTTACTTTACCACCTGCTCCCTCATAGGCTCTTTGGTTGCTTCCTCCTCCAGCTTTACAATCCAGAACCCTTGAACTTCCTTGGACCTCTCATCTTCGCTATCTACACTCACTCCCTACGTCACTTCACTTAATCTCAAGGCTTTCAATTTCAACTTTATGACGAAGACTTCTAAATTTATATTTCCTGTTCAGATATCTCCCTTAACCTTACTTAACTTCTATATACAAATGTCCTTTCTATCTTTACACATGAGGATCTAAAATGCATTTCAATTTTAAAATGCCCAAAACTATTTCTTTTTTTTACTTTCCTGCCTACACCCCTTGAAAATAAATCCAAAACCGGACAATTACTCACCACTTCCATCATTACATGACTTAAGCCATCATTATCTTATTTGTCTGAATTATTGTAACCATCACCTAACGGATCAATCTGTTTCCATCTTTGTCTCCTTACAGTCAGTTCTCTATACAACAGCCACATTCATCCCTTTTCACTCCACTTCGGCTACACCCACGTCCTCATTGTTGCTTGATCACGGTAATCATGCTTTTACTTCAGGGCTCTTGCAATCATTCTGCTGGAAAGATCTTCTTCAAATATTTGTTGGGCTTGCTCCTCATTTACTTGAGGTTTCTGGTCAAATGTCAGACAGCCTTCTCTATTCTCTTTAACCTCCTTTTATACATACACACACCCACATATATATGTTATATATATATATAGTTGTTGTTGTTGTTAGTGCTGTGGAGTCAATTCCATCACCTAGGGACCCTGTGTACAGCAGAGCAGAACCCTGCCTGGTCTTTTTGTGCCATCTTCTCACCTTTCAGCACTACATCAGACAATGCTGTGCTGTTATTCACAGGGTTTTCATCTCCAATTTTTTCAGAAGTGGGTGGCCACGTCCTTCTTCCCAGTCTGTCTAATCTAGAAGTTCCACTGAAACCTGTCCACCATGGATGACTCCACTGGTGTTTGAAATACCAGGGACATAGCTTTCAGTATCACACAGCTACACATAGCTACCACAGTTTGACAACCAGCAGACAGGTGTGGTGTGGTTCCCCGATCAGGAAATGAACCGGGGCTGTGGTGGTGAGAGCAGCGATCTTAACCACTAAACTATGAGCACCTGTAATTTATTACAACCTGAAATGTTATCTATTTAATTCATTTAAGGCTGGTCTTCTCCCACTTTAATGAAAGCTCCATAAGAGAAAGGACTATGTTTGCCTCACTGTTCTACATGAGATCCTAGATCAGTGCCTGACAAAAGTTAGGACAAATGAGTGGAGAAATAAATGAATCATAATTAAAAATCCAAAATTTTGTAAAGGTCCTGAAGCACTGTGCTGAGAAGACTTTGTGGGCCATGTCTCAGCTTGGTGTGAAAAATTGTCTTGATCACTTAAATGTCTGCCATGTGTGCTTAAATGCTTGCCTGCCACGTATCTCCTATTGCTTATTCAGATATATATTCCTAGTCCATATATTTGCTTTTCAGAGTATCATTTCAATTTCTGTAATTTGGGAAAATATTTTTAAGTGGACTTAAAAGTAAAGCTCTTTTTAAATAGATTAGGGTTGGGTAGATCAGAAAACATCTCAGATCAAAATAAATGCTAATCAGTATAGTCCATTTACCTTGCAATTTCATGTGCAAAAACACTGAATATATTTTTTGTATGGCTGAAAATGGATGGCATAATAGGATTTCTGAAATTCATATTCTTTGGAAAATAATGTACTTTCATATAGCATAATTTCAGGCAAAAAATTTGATATTTTTAAAGATAGATCATTTTTTCGAAGCTTGCAAATTATAATTTTGTCCGTAGATAGTTAAGGGTATAATGCATAGAAAGATTGCATTATAGAATGAGGTTTGGAGTCAGGAAGCCTGAGTTGAATCCTATCTCTGCTCCCTAAATAGTACGTAACCTTAGAGAATTTACTTACTCAAGATCGAGATAGTCATACCTATTTCTCAGAGTTGGGTAAAGTTTAATGCAAATTGTACAAAGTTCTAACATTGGGTCTGGATTAGAGTATGTGCTCAGTAAATGAAATTTATTACAAATATTGTAAAATAGGTGTGGTCTTCCTATTACGCTGTTCATTAATATTACCGTTACGCAAAGTGTCTGTTATATTTCCAAATGCATATACATGAAAAAATTCCACTAGTTTACACCATGTGCATGTTTAAATAAGTAAAGCTCAATGTTTATATTGGAAAATCCATAGCTTGTTTTAAGAGTTCAAAAATGTAATACCATTGGTGAGTATGGGAATAATTTATGCGTTCTTACCTGCAGGTAAATAAAACATGATAATAATATCCTATAAAAATCCACAATATGAAAGATATACCTTATCTTATATACTTTATATTCTGCTGTATAGTCCAGCAATTGTTATTTATCATTTAATTCCTAAAATGCTGAGGTTACAAGAATTAAATAAAATTTAAGTTGATTAGTTACATTGGAACTGGGTATATGTGACCGGACTATTTATATAGGTAATTCTAGAAATTAAAGATGTATAAGTATATATCAGTAAAGAACTACCAAATAATCTACTAACAGTATTTTTTTCTTGGCTGTGCATGTAGCTGGGGAAATTCCCGTGTGGAAACAATCTCCAACTAGCAGATAGCAGTTGATTAAGTGGCTTCATGTCTCTCCAGGGAATCATCCCTCTGAGTCAATTGTGGAGACACTAACCAACTGCTCTATAGTAACATTTGTAAAAAGCAAAAACAAATTTTAAAACCCTGAATAGAATTTTCAATTGATAAGCTTTTATTTTTGAAAACTATAATTATAATTGTATATAACAAATTAAAAAATGCTCAGTATCTATCTGTATGTGAATTTCATTAAATAACCTGGATAATACTAAAATGAACATTTTTTAAACACACATACACCAAGCAAACCAAGTGGTTTCTTTGTTTGAGGGAAATATGCTTAGTGGGTGGAATTTGTGGAATTAATCGTCTGAAAATTTAAAAACAGGAGAGACTCATAACCATTTAATTTTTCCCAGGGTTTCTTTTTATGATACTCACTTGCTCTATATTTATTTTCAAATTGTATAGAAGTCTCTCTGAGATAATTCACTATACTTTATTCAGGCAGCATGAGCTACCAAGAGGGAAGTTGGATACTTTCTCCCATTTCCACTGAGAAAAATCTTTCCTATTCTGTATAAGAGACAGGAAGGGGGAAGCAATGGCATCCTTGAAAAATCTGCTGTCCAGAACCATTTCACTAGGCTGTTTGGGGAGCTAATTAACCCTGACTGGCAGAGCTCTATTCGAATATTGAAGAGAGTTACTCCCAGTCATGAAGTTACCAAAAAGTTTCAGGAAGAGCTCGCTAACCTTATTTTGCCTCATTATTCAGGATAAAATTGCTCTCTGATAACAGGGGGCAGTGCTCATCACTTCAGCTTTAGCTCTTTTAAGTTTTGGTGCTCAAAATCACAAAATAAATTACTTTGTTATAATTAAGGCAAATTTTGTTCTGCCAGATAAATTATCCCAGTTACAAAAAGAATTGGAAAATTATTGTTTTAATCAATAAAAATTATTCAAACACTGAAAGAGCTACTCCAACTAAAAAAAAGAAAGAAAATATAGAACCTATAACTACAAAATATCAAATGCAGTTATTGATATTTCAGCGTTTCCAAATAGCAAGCATTTGCGTTTGCTACGCGGCAGACACTTTTAACACAGAACTCGATGTTTTGTGATCCTCAGACTCTCCAAGTAGCACAATAGATCTTCACTGGGGAATATATTGTATTAGAATTCCAAAGAATAATCATCCTCATAAACACAGAAGAAAAGCTGAAAAGACCATTCACAGAAAACAGAAAGATGAAATAAATGAAATAAAAAGACCTCACTTTAAATATGTGCTCTAAAAAAATCTTTTTCTATATCACGCTGGTTCTCAAGAGGTGGAGTAGTTCTACATTGCTGAAAACTGCTTTCACAAAAGGGACGTTTACCACAATACTTAAGCCTGCTGTTATTGATCACTCACAAACTACAAGCAGCAAGCGATGATTACTTCAGGCACGGGGTTTTCTTCTTTTTGTCCAGTCTCAGCAGGAGAGACAAGCTGGAGCAAAGCACCTCGACTGGTACCAAGCCACAAAGGAGAGGAGTGCGCTTTGCTGCCAACAGCATCCTTCACCGGAATCCTAGAACCTGCTTTATCTGCTACTTCACCACTTGCCTGAATGGAGACTTTTCTCTTTCTGCATTGCAGCTAGGCCACAAGGATCTCCCAGAAACTCTAGAATTTTAACGCAAGGATACTTGGATATTCACAATATAAAAGATCTCCCTGACGCAGAAGTGTCATATTCATTGAGCCTTTTAAGGGGTACGAGCTCCGAGAAACCAACTTACAGCTGCAAGCTGCCCCTTTAATGATTGTGACCTTATTATAAGATTTGAGCATTTTCCTGCTGAGAGAAACAAATTCATTTCAAAAATGGCAAAGGCTTTAAATCTACTAGGAATCCTTGGAAGTTGCAGCAAAACTTATTATTACTGAGTAGCAAAGTAATCTTGATCTTTAAAAAATATTTTATAAACTTTTAAACATAAATATAATAAATGATATAAAGTATTGATTTCGATTTCTTTTTAATTGGTTAAATAAGTACTTATTAAAAAACAAAAATAAAAATTACTTTGGGCAAAGGCAAAAGTATAAGCTAGGAGGCCAAATTCCAGCTTTGTCTCCTATTTGCTGGGGAAACTTGGGCAAGCTATTTACTATCTCTAAGCATCGTTGAATTCATCTACAAAATGAGAAGTTTCATATCGTAAGGAATTGAGAAAATGTAGATAAAGTTACCGGCATAAAATAAGCACTCAGTAAATGGCAGTAATTTTTAAAATATAAAAAAAGAATATTCGTACTTTTTATCATGTTTAACCCAGGTACGCTGCTTAGATCATGATAAAGATGGGTGTTGTGAAGAAGTATTTCACTTTATGGTACGGTATTTGTCCACTAAGTCACCACACTGGCATAACTGTTGTGGTCATCTGGATTGGGTCTTTTAGGGGAGATGGGAGGCAACAAATTAGACAGAATGAAGCCTAGCCTACAAGTACCTGGAGGTGCGCTCACCTCCCAAACTCGAAGGAGCAATTTGTGACTTGATCCTTGAGTCCTGGCTCACACGTTACACGTGATGTACATATTTTCTCCTGGGACAATTTCACATTGGGTGTAAACTCTTATAAGATTTCTATTCAAAAATCCTGATTGGAGGAAATGAAATTTAGGAATGAGAAGGCCCATGCCAAAATCATTTAATTTGGGCTGGGCACTAGCATATGGCAGTGCCGTTACAAAACTCTGTATGTGTGTGTGTGTACTTTAGCTTTACTCACTCTCCATTCCTTTTGCATGAGAAGCTAAAGGTTAAAAGCCAGGAGGCAGCGCTCTTGTATGTTCACACTCATTTCTTTCTACCAGTTGAGTTCAATGATCAACATAGTGATTTCTGTGTAGCCCCCAATCTGTTTATGCCAGTTGCAAGCGGAATTTATCTTGTTATTGTAACTGTGAAAATTAGTTATTACTTAAACCATTGGATTGTGCATGTAAAATGACTTCTTTTTATGAAAAATAACTTGTGTGCTTTGGAAACACACAATAATACAAGATGTGTACGTGTGTGTGTGTAGGAGGAGCCATCAAGTTAGGTCTGGACACCACAACAGTAAAAGCTTTGAGAATTAATAATACAAATCGAGAGAGTTTTTTCTACACTCAAATTCTTTCACAGGTGTCCTTGAGTTTCTATTGTACTTTAAAACAACTGAAACTGAGTATCACGGGTGACATATGCAAGAAAAGCTATATGCCATTTCCAAATAGTAGATTTGACCTCATGGAAAAGGCCTTGATCTTATGTCAAAGGTGTAGTCAGTGAATATACATTTCCATAATTTAAGTAAAACGTTCGAGGCACATATATATCTTTCTGTAAGTTCCCTCATATACACTTTAACCACACTTTCAATAAACCAATGAGCAATTGTTCCTGATGGGGGAACATTCGGCTTCTTGTCTCTGTATATGTGTGTGTGTGTATGTATGTATATTCACACACTCATTCATTTACATACCCATACAAGGGCTTCAGGAAATCTTTGGAACAACGTAGTTGAAAAGAGTTATATAATGATTTCAGAGGATAGTGGAAACTTTAAGTTAACATAAACCAATATATCTTTCCAGAAAAAAAATAGGCAGTATAGGAAGACTTTTAAAAAAGCTGTCTTTTTAACAAATGAAAAAACCATATTACGAAAAAAGGAATTTGGTCTATTGATTCAATCTACATAATACAAATTATATAGTTGAATATGGGAGACCTTTAGAAATTAACAGGTCTAAAGAGAAACTTTGAATCTCCAATAGAGTGCCTCCATCTGCTTGATGGACTATGATGGGGCAAAAATAAACTCAAGGGCCTCAATGTATAAAATTAATTCTTTTACATTTAAATAATTAAATGATAAACTTCTTAATAACTTTGTCACTTAAGCATGTAATTTAATATCTCTATTTTATAGTAATTATGATAATAGTGATATCAACTGACATAGAATATAAAAAGTTTAATATTTCTCTTTGATTATTAACATTATATTTCAAGCATATCTCCAAGTATATTTTCAAGTATAACTCTGGTTATGAAATGAAAATTTTAAAAATTTCAATGAGGAAGTCTACATTTATTAGAAAACTGTTTTTAGGGGAGAGGGGAGAGACGTTATTACATTTTTGTGCAATTATATTATCTTCTAAAACTTATGTAGTACTCATATTTTACAAATAATATTTTTCCTAAGCAAGCAAATTCCAATTATAATTTTAAGAAAAATAATACCATTTGGGCATATCCTTTAGATATGATACAATTGAACAGGATATTGTCACCGAACAACATGCAGGCTTCACTTTATCAATGCGAAGATAGAGCTAACACTTTACTAAAACAAATGTTGTGGCATGCCTACATTTTTGTCAAAATAAAGGTCATTTATTCTGTGACTTTTATTCCAATGACTTTCTATACACTATCTTATACTAAATGGTGAATGTATCTGAACTCTTTTTAAAGTAATGGGCCCTTCAGAGTGAGCAAGAATTTCTCAACCTGCTATGATTGAAAGCTACATTTTAATAGCTCAAAGGACTCACGTATTTAGGGTTTTCAGCAAGGTATCTACATTTTAACTTGACAAGCAGGAATGATGCTATTCTTATACACCGGTCAAAACTCTTTGCAAAGTAACCTTTATTTTTTTCTGTACACTTTGTTTCACATAAATTTTTGTTTTCTTAACACTTATCACAAACATAGATTGAAAATTCTTCAAGTTTATCCCATGATGAAAACATACAGATCCCCGATTCCAAATATCAGAATATGAGAAAAAATAAGATGTACAAATTAATATTAGTGGATCACTGAAACAGTTCAAAATGTTCTTTATAACAATATAAGATGTATAATGACCTATAATTGCAAGTGTGAAAATCTTTTTTGATTACGCACCTCAGGGACTGAAACTCCTGAAGTGGGCAGAGTCTGTTGAAAAAGAGAAGTTCATATTAAAGCTGAAAAAGAAAGCCAAACTGAAAACAAATACCGCTGAAGCTTCTTATATCATTATTCTCCTGTGAAATAAGTGAATATCAAATGTACTTCCTTGTCATAATTTTTCTGCTTACTTTCATTAAATAAACGAATATCTTTTCACAAAATAAGCAACATTCTAATGCAGAGTGGGTTAGATTGTAGAATTACTTATCCAAAATACAATTTCATCCGCCCAAAGTAGACTGATCCACATCCTTGGCCAACTTCACAGACCTCTGTACAACAACGCTCATGTACTACATTCATATTTTGGAATAAGAACTCATCTCCATATTCTATTACCCTTCATAAACCATTTCTACTAATTTTGTAAGTTGCCCATTTACCCAGCCCATTTTTCCATTTTCCAGTCCAATTCTCAGTCCTTCCTAAAAAAACTCTGTGTCTTTTTTGATGTGGGCATAGCTTATAGTGTTGATTTTATTTTGTGAAATTCTGGAAATAAGAAAAAAAATATTCCATTAGTATCAGGAAACAATAAAATGTAATCAAGTAGGTAGCAAGATTTTACTTGAAAGAATTAAAAGAAAAGGTGAAATGAAATACACTGAAGCAAGTCATCATGTCAGTGTATCTTCAGTTACCCACCACTCCTTTTCTGAGTCCCATTGGGAAGGTGTTTGTTTGTTTGTTTGTTTTTCTGGCAAGAAACACAGAAAAGTTTATCTAATTCCAAGAGCCTGTGTCCTATGGTGCTTAGAAAAATTTGGAAGAATTGTTGACAAATCTCACACATAATACTACATAAAGTTTTTCCACGGTGGAGGGTGGGGGGAGTAGAAAAGCTGGATGAGAAGCTAGGAGTTCTCAGATATTTGTGTGTCTCTGAAAAGGAGAGAGTGGTCATCATATTCCAGTTTCCTCCCCAGGACCAAGTTACGTGAAGGGGACTCTGATTGGTCCCCGAGATGGGTCTGAAAAGTCTGAAAGCGTAGATATTAGTTTAATCCTTACCCAGTGGAACTTCAGGAATTCAGCAAGAACCAAAGAATAAACAGCTACATCTGAGGTAAAGGAGGCCTTAGATGGCTATAGCTGCTCAGCATAGAGATGGACTAGAAGGATTCAAAGCACCCAAAAGTGGAACAGAAGGAGAAAGGATCTAGGGCAGCCCTAGAGAAAATTAAGATGTCCAGGAAGACAATTCTATCTAGACGATATTTCCATAATGTTAGTAAAAAATACTGCAGCTGGAGATTTTTAGTCAAAAGAATTCATGAAGTGTGGGAGGATGAACTCAGATCAACTAACCCATTGACAAGATAACCCTATGGAAGTAACTGCTATCACTTCTCAGATGGATTGACAACAGGTTTAATAGAACTTTCACTGACAGTTTCCTGATTCCAGTAACATCCTTGACTTATGAGTTCAAGTCAGTCTACATAACACCTGCGGCAATTGGTGGTGGGGGATATGTTTGTGCTAGCTTCAATCTGGATCAGCTCAAAGCTTTTTGTCAGCCTTACTATTTTTCTTTCTCAGCTCTTGGTTGAAGCTTAGAACTGAATAAACATTTTAACACATGAATGTAGTCCTTCCATCTTTATTAGAATATATTAATGCTTGTTCTCCCTCAAATCCAGATTAAGTGACTTATCCTATGATTCCTTATCCTATTCTACAGCATGGGCCCAGAAAAGTCCCAGAAACTCTCAAGCAGCCAAACTAAGATGCTTATCAAGCAGCCTCCAGGGCATGAGTCACAGATGTCTTCTACCTTGGGAAAAGTCTATGCTCGTTGTACCTATGTCTGTACAGACTAAGGCAATGGAAAGCCCAGTGAAAAGATGACAGCTATCGAAATGGTTCAGAATAACAACAAAGTGAGTGAAAGAATCTCAAAGAGATCCTCCACCCCATCTCTACCACGAATGGAAAAAAATAGAAAGCTATAAAAGACATTTTTGAGACAAGTGTGGGCATTTGAATATAGAAAGGATAATGACTGATATTATGAAATTATTGCTAATATTCTTAGGTATAATAACAGTACTGTAATTGTATGGAGATTGTCTTAATCTTAGAAGATGCCTGCTGAAGTATTGAGAGATGTAGTGTCATATCACCTGCGATTTACATTCAAAAGTTTCAACTTAATAAAATATATATTACGTGTGTTCACTGTTGTAAATATGTATATACATCCATACAAAGTCATATATACATTCCATCCATCTATAAAATCATGGCAATGTAATAACATTTACTGAATATAGGTTGGGGATATACTGGATTTTGTGGCCTGATCCCACAAAAAGCATAGATAGATAATAAAAATCCCATTTTAAGGCCCCGCAAAAGAATCTGTGGGATGAAATTGAGCCCTGGCTGCCGCTTTGCTACCACTTGTGTAAAGAATTGGTAATTCACGGCTATTCATGTTTGCAGGTTTCCTCTTTCTAAGGGTATTGGGGATATGGGTTATCCACTGAGAGAGAATGAGGTTTGCAGAGAGGTAGCGAGATGAAGAAAGTAAGGAAATAGCAGAGATTTTGGCACTACTTCTCTGAGAATGGGAAAGCAGTCGACTAAGGATGTGTAACAGGATCAAGCAAAATTAAGGGCTCAGCTGGAGCAAGAAGTTATAAATATGTAAGAGAGAAAGCCATCAGCTCTGAAAATTTTCCCCAGCAACACTTAGACGTCTGAGAGCAACACCAGAAATTCACTCCAAGAATAAAGGTGATGGAACAACATATATATGAGCTCACTTACAATCAAGATGCATAGGCAAAGAGTGTGTATTAAATTAACATGTCCATCAGTAGCTTATCCCTGAGTTATAATAAGAAAACCATGGTATCTAGGTAAAAGGAAAGGAAGCAACTTGTTAGAACACAAATTCAGATATTATATTACTTTATTATTATATTACTTCATTTTTACTCTTCTGTTTATAATTTTTAAAATATCAAAGATGAGTAGAGTAAATGTTTTGGTTTTTTGAAAGTTATCATGAGTGTACAATTCTAAATGTAATATATTTTTAATCAGAATTAATCCAGGAACTGTATATTTGTATTTAATCAAATGTGAGTTGTGACTACAGAAGAATGTGATTGATTTTATTTAATCAGTATCATTTTAATATTAAATAGAATACACAGTACAGATAATTAGTTTAAAAGATGCATCTGCCTTCAGGGCACTTATTAAGTTCAACCTAATATCAAAGAATTTTTAAAAATCCTATTATTCTAAAGTATTGAGATATCTCTTGTCTTCATATTTTCTAACCTGTAATCATTTTAAATTGACAATTTAATCCAAATTGTCATAGGACAAAGAAAAATCTTTGTCGGAGAGATTATTGGAAGTTTGACTTAGTTAAAAATATAATAAGAGAACAGTACTCCCATTAAAAGGGTCATCAGTTATTTCAAGACTAAAGTAAAATTAACAGAATTATAACTTATACCTATACAAAAATGTTCTTATTTTTGAAAAATTGCCATTATGTTTATTGTCTCATTTAATCCTCCCACTAAATCAAGATACTCCATTTCTCAGACTGGGAAACTGAACCTCAGAAAGATGAGCTGACTAGCTCAAGAAAATAAAGTTAGTGAGAGAATCCAAATATATCACTTCCTTGTCCTAGGCTCCATTTATTCAAACAACAGCAGGTTTAACAAGAATTGTTTTTAAAGGGCGTTCTTTTTTAGCCATATCTATATTTTTTAAGTGATTTGGAAATCAAATTATTTTAAAATGTTGATGAACGCTGCAGAGTATTCTGAAACCACAATGTATATCTGTTCTGCCTGAAAGAACTGACTTCAATATCAATATGGCTTAATCTAACATCATAACTTCCAGTGCAATGGCAAATTAAAGTAGCCAAATAAAGCTATTTTAAATAGCTTGTTTTCCTTGTTTACAATTGGATATCTCTTGCATAAATAAACAAGTGGGAGACAGAGAGAAAAGCATATTTGGGAAAAGAACAATGGTCTTCCTAAAATGGTAAAGCGTCTCAGCCTGAAAGGGGAAGCTGTTCTTCTCTCATACATTATGTAAACAAATAAATAAAATGTATCAACAGCACCTCTAGGATATATAGATTAAATACATTTGCTTTGCATTAATTTTATTTTCACATTTCAGCTTCATAATTCTTTTAAACTTTTATGATTTTGCAGATCCTTAAGTGCAGACACTCACACATAGGAACACAATACAAATTAGAAAGCAAATGAGAGTGAAATAATTTTTATACTACTAGTGTCTTTATTAACATCTTTAATCAAAGATGACTTCAATGTATGGCAAGTATGTCAACTGGAAGAATTATAAACTGTTTTTCTTTTCCAATGGCACTTGGGCATATCTAATTAAAGTGTAACAATCTAAAATAAAATATTTTAGAAGGTACACATAATATAATCTTATCCAAGGTCCCTTACCTAACCACTTCTCACTTGAGTCAAATTTTTAAGCTTGCATCAAAATAAGTTTAACAGTAAAAATAGTTTTGACTGAGGGACCGGCCTACTAGTATAGTGGTTAAGTTTGTACACTCCACTTCGGCGACCTGGGGTTTGAAGGTTTGGATTCTGGACGCAGACCTCTGTATTGCTCATCAAACCTTGTTGTGGTGGTGTCCCACAAAAAAAATAGAAGAAGACTGGCACAGATGTTAGCTCAGGGACAATCTTCCTCAAGCAAAAAGAGGAGGATTGGTAACAGATGTTAGCTCAGGGCCAATCTTCCTCACCACAAAAAAAAGTTTTAACTGAGATGATTTCACTACCCCCACAAAATATTATCTCAGAAAAATATTTTGCTCACAAAAATATACTATTCTCACTCTTGTAAATGTGATCATTTATGCATATTTGCAGAGTTTTCTTCTGAAGATATTTCAGAGAAGGGAGTTTGAGTCTCCCTCCTTAACAGCTCCCTCACTAGGTGTGCATGTCTGT